ATAATGCCATGTCGCACCAGCCAAGGAAACAATTCATGTGGTAGCACCACAGGAAGTTGCCTTGGATTGCAAGACTCTAGACCGATCTAAAACATGGAAGAGACAAGGAACCGCTTCATCAGCACACGCTTCATGATCACCGGGACCTGCAACTTTGAAACCGGAACCTCGGAAGCAGCAGCAACCCTAAGTAACAAATGAGTTTGCACAGAACGAAGGCCAAGGACTCACATGTGCATGTGCATATGCATTTAGGCCACCTTGGCGGTTTTGCACCTTCGTAGCATATCCCGCTGGACATTGCTAGACCATCTCCCCGAAGTGGAGATCAGCTCACCTGCAGCCCCACCAAGTTCCAAGCCACAGCCCTGGAACTCCTTGTTCACGGCGTCAAGCATCTCACGGGCCCCCACAAACGAAGTCTCCTCGGATGGATGCAGGCCCACACCGATGGACAGCGAAGGCGGCTCAGGGATGGGGTTTGTCATGCTAAGTGTTCGAGTACTTATCATGAAAGGCTGGGTAGCCAACTTCACTGCAAGTGTTGGAAGCTTGACCTGGAGTTTCGGGGATAAAGGGTTTAGGGTTTAGGGGTTTTAGGGTTCAGGGTTTAGGGGTTTTAGGGTTCAGGGTTTAGGGTTTAGGGTGTTTTTTGTGGGCTTTATACCAAGCACAGTGATGTTTACAAGTCAACTGTACCCAGTTGTGTCATCCGGCCCAACAGTCTCAATTTGGGATTTAAGGTTTAGGTCTTTTGGTTCTTATTTAGGGTTTAGGGTTTGCATTCTTTAGGGTTTAGGGTTTGCACTAGTAAACCATAAATGCAAGCCAGTAGCTCCTTTGCCGATGCTCCGCATGACGTAAGCGTGCAAAGGAGTGCTGATAGAGCGACCTGCGTTGGCAGCTGCTACACATGCTTTGTTCCACATAGTAGTACCATATAATAATCGCTGCAACAAGTAAACTGACGCGAGAGCACCATGCCACACATGTGGATAAGACCGTCGCGACCCTTTTTTCTTCTGTCACTGCGCTTCAGCAGCAGCTCCGGACTTGAAAGGTATTGCACGTCCTAGTCGACGCAAGATTAAATCGCCTAGCTGGCTCATCAAAGCAGCACAGTGCAACGTCTTTGCAGAGTAAACTATGTTAAATCTATCTTCCCAGCTTATGTGTAACCCGGATGTCGAAGCACTAACTGGCCCTAATACATAATAGCCTAAAGCCCCATACAGCCCTAAATCCCTAAAACTCTGGATGTTTGCCGGAGATTATCAGGAATTTTGTATATATATTATTAGTATTCGGCAGACTGCCACATCCTGGCTGCTTGAATGGCCCTGGCATAACAACGGGTGCCAAAACTCCTACGGATCAGCTATCTCGAGATAAGCTGCGATAGCCTACCATCTTCAGATACACCACACAGGCATTGCCACCTGCTCGCTCATGATCAGCGGCGATTGCCAGCCTTGGCCTTGGCCTTTCCCTTGGGTTCCTTCGGAGGGGCCTGAGACACATTTGCATGTAGCTGAAACTGGAGCATTCAAGAGCATGCCTCGTACAGACTGAATCATCTACTTGAAGCCCAGCTACAGTTGCAGTTTTCACAGCCTTCATCTTGCCATTTAGCACCAGGAAGGCGCTGTCCACGGCCCGTATGACCGTGTCGTACACGGCTCTCTCCTCACCCACCTCAGATATTATTTAGTGCTAAGGAGGGCAATTAGATTGGAAAGTGTAGCATCCGTTTTCTAGGTATCTAGAATTCGACTGACCGGGGCACAATGTCGGCATCCTCAAGCTTTCGGGAAAACCAGGACTCCAGCTGTGCCCGAGCATCCTCCACTGCCTTCTTGCCAGCGTTGAGCTCATGCTCGTAGCCCTCGATCATCTTCTCGGACCTGAGCAAATTAAAAGGGTTTAGGGTTTAGGGCTTTGAGGTCTGGAGACTTAAGCCCGAAGGGTTTGCAGGCGTGCAAGGTACAGCGACTTAGTATGGCATACCTAGCTAGGCATCTGTAGTATTAAGCTTTTGTAGGGCGGACATCACTGGGCACAGACTTCCAATCCACAATCCTGGGGCTGCAGCAAACTGACCCCTCCGTTATGTGTTGAGTGGGACACGGAGGGCACAGGAACACACATATAGGGACAGCAGATATAAAAATAATAACCGCAATATTGTCATGAGGGTGCATTAACCAAACCACTTATTCCTACTACAATCTAGAATTGTAGGTGAGGGGCAGCATGGGGGCACCGGGCAACTCCGTCGCCAGAACTCGGGCTTCAGCCAGTTTCGAGGATATTTGGGAGAGTTTCGTGGTCGCGGCTTTTCGGAGGGAGGGCGCTTTGCCTTTGCCCTTTGATTTGGCAGGCGGTGGCGGGATGTTCGTGCTTGCGCCTGGGGTGGAGCTTGCACCTGGGGTGCTGGGGGGCGTAGGAAGTGCCCTGCCAGGCTGCGCCGGCTCGATCCTGTAGTTCGCATTGGCAGGCGCACCCGGCTGGTGGTAGTGCTGCCTCAGCTTTAATGCACCATATATAGGGTTTAGGGTTTAGGG